AAGAGCGTTACGAGCAGTTTTTGGAAGGAAACCTCTGGCTCTCACCTTGATTTTGGGCACATAGTACAGGAAGGGTATGAGTAGGACAGGGTGTCGTTACCGCTGCTCTCCGGGCGGGCTAACAAAGCCTCCTCTCTCCCCACCACGCAGGAGGTCTACCCCACATCCCCGCAGGCGGGACTCCGCGCTGCCGAGCTCCCAGGCCAGAACCACGCTCCTGAACCACCTAAGAGCCCTCCTTCATGAGGACAGCATTAGTTTCCCAGCTCCCTAACACTGGGGAACCAGGGGAAATACTTACACCGCTCAGAGGACTGCGACGTCGCTTGCTGCGGTGGGTGCTGCGTGGGCTGGACGAGGCGGCGAGGACGCTGACCCCACGGAGGGTGCCGAGACCGGCCGCATCGTTACCCGGTGCGAGGCCGCAACAACTCACTGCACCTCTGGGCCTCGGCGCTTTGCACGGCCCTTCCTTCTTACCTGCTAAGTCATTTTTGTTGCCTTTTACCTGGATGCATTGGAAAGCATCGAAATCCTGGGTATAGGTAACGGTTTCGTAGGGTCAGGCTTCCCTCATTTACAGCTTTAATTAACCGGCCCTGTAGCCGCCTACCCAGAGCCCAGCACTGGCGCTGAAGTCATCACCTGATGCGAGGGGACGGCAGCACGCAAAAGCAGCACGAGCCACAAACATCTTTCTCCAGCACAAACGTTGCTCTACGAGGAAAAAAAAAACGCTATTTCATACCCGCCTGTAACAATTGCTATTATACCACACGCTTGTTTTCTCTTGTGTCTCTTAAGTTAGAGAGGAAAACCAGATTTTACCGTAAAGATTTCTCAGCCTCGTTCCTCTCTTAGCCAAAGGACAGACCCCTAGAGACCTTCACCAAGTCTTCAGGCCTCCGACAGAGGCCACTCGAGCAGCTCGCTGGCTCCCACCGCCGAGCCGGCAGGCCCACGGGGGGGCACAGCACCCTTTTTCTGCACGCCGCCACGCAGCTCTGCTGCCGCACGTCGGAAAATCCCGCTCCCCGCAAAAGCGCGCGCTCCTGGCACTCTTACGAGGGGGTGATTCGCTGCCGAGGAGAGGAGGGGAGAAAAGGCGGTTAAAAATGGTCTTTGGTGAGAAAGGTTGTTCCCGCTCTGCTTCTGAATTTGCTGGTAAGTAGTTGGTGATGGCATGTTAACGCAGCAATGATTTCTTTGATGCTATCTCGGTTGATAGAGGCTTCATTAAATCTTATTTGTTTTGTGCTTATGTACGTACAGAATTACAACAGCAGAAGGTAGAAGATGAAAGCTTGTTTTAAAAAAAAAAAAGTCCTATAACAAAGGGCAAAATGTATTCTGAAGCAACACAAAGGCTTTAAATAAAACAAAACCTGCAGAATGCTATTTCCCCCCCCCCCTTCTTCTGAAAAAGCAATCTTTTCCATATAACAAATACCTAGATTTGGTTATTGAGGAGAAAGAATATATTCAGACAAGGTATTCTTTTGGAAAGCTGTTTCTCCTTTTGCTACTACAAATGCTGCTGTTAATGTTGTAACACTACTTATGTAAAATACCAGTGCCATAAACTCTGGGCCAAACTCTGGCTGTAAATATGGAAGAGAGGAGATTTGGTTGAATAATAAAACTGTTACCTTCCAAAAAAAAACCCAAAACCATTAGCTCTGAAGAACTAGTGGCTTATTTATCCATCTAGGGCCTGGATCTACCTTCTGAGCGGTCCAGTGAGAAATGTGCTTTAAAAAAAAAAGAGAGAGAAAAGAAAAAAAGTAAGTAAACCTTGATGGATGGAGCAATAAATACAGCAAAGCTGTTGCCCAGTACTAGATATTCTCACCTCTGATGCTTCCTGTAGAGGAAGTAGGGACCTTCTACAGTTTTAGTCATAGCGCTGCTTCTACTTGTCATACCATAAGGTTGTTTTTCACGTTGTACTGTCTTGTATTTCGGGCACAGCTGTAGGCAAAGCCCCTCTAGAAGGTCTGGTACCGAAAACCTTGTGGGACCACTCCTTGTTGCTTCTATAAGATGCTACAGACCTTAAGCTAGTTAATAGGAAAAGGAGGTAACGAGGTCATGGAGCAGCCAAACAATTGCAATTTTTGCTCTGTGCTTCCTGAACTAAACTTGTTTCCTTGAGGCTAGCTATACAATGTTTATCAGAGGCAGAACATAAACATGAATTTAGAAAAAACACTCAAACTTACAATTTCAAGAGATAGTCGGAAGTAGTTAATTACATACATGTTTTTCATACAGAAACAAGTGGTCAAAATCAATATATAATGACAACTCCAGTCTTGGAATGACTTCCTCTGGACTATGGAAGTTCCTTTGGACTTAGGTAAGTTGTTTGGTCAATTTGTTTAAATATGGAGAGCGCCCTGAAGCCATTTTACGTATTTCCTTTAGTTAATGCGATATTCATGATCGTTAAAAAAATTTAGAAAACAATGTTGTTAATCTTGGATTACATGCAGCATGAGGGGAAGAATTAGTAGCACAAAGCAAGAAGATTAAGACACTTTGCTTTTCGACAAAATAGCTACATGCCTTATTTTCCTGTCTTAAACTAACAAAGAGGTAATCAGGATCTGTCCTTTCGTCTCCAACTTGGTATATTCTGGCAAAGTGCTAACTACTTCTTTTGGCACGGCAGAGTCTGGCTGTGAGAAAATAATTATGTGCTGAGAAAAGTGATGACAATGAATCCTTACATCTTAACACACAAGAGAAAACGGCAATGACAATTATATGCGTTTGGTCAGGTCTTTTAATCAAATAGTTACTTGGAAATAAATTTTACTTAACTATTCATTTAACCTGTATACTAAATGCAGAACAAATTATTTTCCTTTAAAATTCCTAAATTAAATCACAGTAACCTTATATGCTACGTATTTGGCTGTTTTAATAAGCGATAGCAATATAAAACTGGATTCAAAGTCAGTCTAGAATAGGATTATATATAGCAATACAAGGGGAAATAATCTTTGGAGAAATGATACAATAGCAAATTCTAACTGCATTAAAAAGAGTCAAGTCAGGCCTTCAGTCGCTAGCCGGGCCAGAGTTTGGGGATCGCGTGTGCGCAGCATATAAATCCGCAAGTGTGACAAATAGCATTTTAATTTATATACTAAAAGGCTAACTTCTAAAACTCTCTGCTTAAGAAATCAGAAAATACATGTTCATTCTAAGTAAACGCTGAGGCTAATGAGGTCACTGACTTCACTTGGGAAGATCTCGCGTGAGCCTTAGGGAGGCCACATCTTGCAGAGCTGCAGAATGCTTCAAAAGCACCCGGCTTTCCACGGTACCTCTCGGAAAATGCTTTTTACTTCGCTGTGGTAGCACTGTCTAAACCAAGAACACAGACCCTTGGGTTACCAAGCAGCGTTTTCGCCTGGCTGGTTGAAAACGAGCGTGGTAGTTCTGCAGGAGGAACAGCAGGAAGGCAGACCTGCTGGCAGGGCCTTGCGGTGCCACGTCGCGCTGTGCCCCGCGCAGTTATTAATGGACCACTGTCAAGTAATCCACCATCTGGAAAGCAATCGTTGCTTCTCGTGACCGAAATCATTTCTAGTAAGATCACAGAATTTGGTTATTTATCTAATTTACCGCTGCGATGGAAGTGGGAATTAGTTTAAGTCTTCATATCTGGTGTCAGGATGACATTATTCCCCCCTACCCTCCAAAAAACCTCATTTCATCCGTTTTTATCAGTAGTATTTGAACTTCCATAGAAGGCTAGAGGAAAATTTTCATTTTGTTTAATGGGCTCTTTTGGCAGTAATTTAGGTATTATCAATTGCACTCATTAGTTTCTTATTAAGAGCTTCACCAGAGAACTCAGCAATTTTAATTTTTTTTTTTAATCAGGTCACTTCAACAAAGTTACCTCATCTCATACAAAGGGAATGAGTTTCATGATGAGCCCACAAATGCATAATACGTTCATACTTATCTTTTTTTAAAAAACAGCAGTTTTGTTCACAAACTTATCTCTTGAAGAACAAGTAAATCATTATACTTTAAGATAAATTTCATTCAGATATTCTTCACCTACAAGAGAGTATGAAAAAAACTCAAATAGTCACTAGACAATTGCAAGGTACAGTCTCCTTAAGCTTCTAATATTTTCCCTGTGGGGCTTATATAAACCAGGAGCTTGTAAAGAAATAAATGCCATACAAAAAGTCTATATACAGTATATTATGATGTACAGTTAACACAGGCATTGATGTATAAATGTTTTAATTGACTCCTAAAAATAAAATGCATATAGTGATAGTTTGCAATGAGCTGCGCATGATGCTCCCACCAGCTTATGCGGGGATTGTGCTTTCACAGCAATAACTGATCCTTTGCACTTAAGTTACTAATTAAAGCTTGTTTTTATTTCTGATTTACACAAAACAAAGTGAATAAAAGTGCCCAAATCTTACGTACGATGCTAATGGATTGAGCAGTACATAACTGCCGTTTGGATTCAAGGCACGTGGCTAATTGCATCCATTGTTTTAAAACCTCCACATTACTGTTAACCAGATGTATGTGTTCATCTAAAAATAGTTATCTCATGACATACATCGTATTATTATGTCAAATATCTCTAGAGCACTCGTTGCTGTGGTTCCGTACCACACAACAGAGAGAAAGAGCTAAAACGGGGAAAATTCAGGAGAAAAAATAACTGTATCATTCTGATACAGCACAGTAAATATTATATTATCTTCACCTCATTTACAAATAAGTAATGACGAGAAAGTAACAAAAGCAATACATTTGGTCTGTAAGCAAGAGCAAACTTAACTGTTTGTTGAAGTCATCCAAAAATAAATTCCAGTGAAAACAGGAGCCAAACGCAATCAGGCACTAGGCGCTCTCTTCGCTCGCAAGTCACGGTTCCGCTTCCAGTGCGACTAAACTGGATTGTCTTTTGCTGTGCGTATGATACCTAATGAATTGCAAAGTCATCTCTTATTTTGGGGTAAGGAAGTAATTAAAGAGGATCCAGAGATAGCATTTGCAGTATTTGCTTTCAATCGAAAAGTAAATAAGCTGCACAGAATAAAAGCAACCATCCATTTAGTCCATAGTTCTGGCACAGACCGAGAGTGCTGTGTTCTGCAGAGGAAAGCTTAAAAATTGCTTTATCTAATTCATGCACTGTGGTGCAAGTGGTAACTATTTGTTTAATCCTAACTGTGAAAGCTTCTCCATTAGTGTGTAACCCTTTTCACATCCTACCTAACACTCATTTTCAGCCCCCCCCCCTTTTTTTTTTTTTGGCAAAAGTTTAATACTATTTTACTTGTAACACCAGATAGAAAACGCACAGGAAAATTCTGACTGAAAACTTCAGATCCCGTGGGTTATATGGCTTAAATATATATGAAAATATCCTGGCCCTTAGCTATCACGCTCTAGAGCTTGCATTAGGGGGGTTGTTGAGCATGGATAAGAGAGACGTCTTACTCTGCAGAATTGTTGCTGGACAGTTGAGGAGCGTTGTACTTAAGCTGAGCACTGACCTTGACACAAAACACTTTGTATTCCAATAGAGACTGGAACTTGGGTGAAGAAAGGTTTGAGAAACCCATTAGATGGGCGGAAGCAAGATGGATGAGGCCAAGTATGGAGTTTCAAACATAAGGATCCGCACGAACGCAGGTGTAAAGGTACGGGATATAGAAAGAAGAGGCTGGCTGGGTACCTGGCTACCTTTGTACAAAGCCCAATAGATGCCCATGTTTGTTGAGCTTTAGCTGAGGCTGGATCACCACTACTATGACATTAAAAATCCTATTTTAAGAATAAAGTTGAGGTGCTCTAGGAAGAAATCTGGCACAGAAGGTTCTACTGGGAACACTGTAGACCAGTTAAAATAACTTGGCTAGTACGCAACGGTTGTGAGAAGCTGGAGGCTAATGCATGCTATTATTTATAAAAATGGGGCTGGGGGGAAGCTTTCTGGGAGGCCTAGATGAAGAGAGAGAAAATTCTCTACATCCTAGGCAGAGCCCGCAGAATTACCCCACCTTCCCAAGGCTTTCCAGCATCCCACCTCCGAGGCCCCTTCCAGCTGAAGACTAGATAGGGTTTCTTTCAGAGGCAGCAGGTCAGCACTCCTTTTTAAGTCTTTCTGTAGCATAACATGGGGAACTCTTTTCCTAAGGCTTAGCAAATTAGTTTTAGAGCCTCTATAGCCATCACTACCTGGGGGCGGGGGAGACAGTGCAGGACAGTTTTAGTCTTTATTATAGTTGCAGCTGAGCACCTCCAGAAGTCTTAACAGGTGCTTTGGTGGAAAGGGCGTTGTGAGCTGGGAGTCAGCGTGCTGTAGTCATGCGGTACACCTGGGACAGTCAGCCACCAAGCTGGCAACAGCCATGGAGCTTTTAAGAAGGAATCAGTTCAAAATAACCTGTGCCTATAACTTATCAAAACCAATATTTCCAGAATATGTTTTTGTACCATACGCACTCTGCTGCTCATACTTTTTAAAATAAATGCTAGACCGTTGAGACTACTGAATATAGAAACATGCTTGCTGTTCAAGTCTGTGACTTTCTCAGGGAAATTTAAGGCTCAAGTGTACAGACAGCTCAAAGCAGGGGGGATGACCAAACTGACTTTTCAGAGCAAAGTTTATGACAGTCACTGAACTAGTGTATCAAATTTGTGTCATTAAATCTATAAACAATCTAATGGCAATTCAAAAAATGAAAAACGAAGTTTTGAGACAAAAGCAGCTATTTATAGGAGGACAGGGAAGAGGAAGTTGTATCTCTGGTTGGAAACGCTCCTTGCTGAATTGTCAGGTCAGACTTAGATTCTTTGCGGTGTAATTACATTACAAAGCATGATGTTTTGTAAAAATATATAATGGATTCCAAGTGGCTGCCCTGCAAGCCACAAAGGGTGCAAGATAAGAGTCTGTGTACAGTAGCTTGGTGCTTGCTTTACTTTGTCTATCTAGTAACAACCTGGCTACGCTTAATGAAAAGAAGTACATGTAGAGGATTTGAACAGAGCTCTCTGACAACAGGGTGATGCCAAATAACAATAAAAAAAAGGCAAAAATGGAAAAGGGCTTTGTCCGAATTAAATACAGAGCAGAGTTGTTTGGTTTTGGTGGTGGCAGGGGAGGAAAGCAGCAGTGTGAAAAAGGATATTGGACTTAGAGAAAAGGACAAAGTTTCCTGGAAGAAACTTCCATAACATTCAGTCTCTAGGAAACTTAATGCTGGCTGCTGCTAAAAGTTTAAGGGTAGAGCTGGTCATCAACTGATTTAATATCTTAAAATATGTAGTACTGCATCTTTAGGTACAAATTAAGCATTAACTCATCACACACATTAAGTAAAACTCTAGTAACATCCACCTCGGTGTGTCACTGATACTCGGTGTGTCACTGATAAGGCACACTATCAGAGCCGTTTAAGCCTCGGGCTTAGTCATCTCCGGAGACACACCAACTACCTTCAACTGCAAAGCAGCAGTTGGAAAGAAATGATTACTAAAACTGAAAATCATGCCTGATTTATAATTGAAACATGTATTATTATGAAACTCCTCTTAAAATGAAAAAGGGGAGAAGGCATCATTCACGCTGTACAAACAACTGGACACTTCCGTTATTTATGGAAAATAACTGGCTTGTTGTGCAACCAAATAACTTCGACGTTAGACACCAAGGCAACAGGACGACCACGTTATCCTGTGAAACCAAGCTGGAACAACTCCAGTGTAGTGCTGCACTAAGTAGCACTGGAACTACTGTTCCAGCTATGATCAGGACTCCATTTGTTTTTAAAAGCAGTCAATGCCAGCCACGTCAGATGGAGGAACGGGAACCCCGCAGCAGACGCAGAGTAAGTGCATTCTTAATTCTTGCTTGGACCTTGAGAAGTGAGGTTTTATTTTCCACCTAATGAAACTCTGGAGATTATCAGGAATAAAGTCCACTAGAACTAGATTAGACCTCTGGAACTACTTTTCAAGGCAGAAACTGATTGTTACACAATGATCGATTATAAAACACCTCTCTTTAGAGATGAGTAGTTTTGGGTTTAATTTCTCTGCTGTTCCAAAACGCAAGCAATCCCGTTCTCTGTTTTCTGGTCTAACATGACGTATCCGTTTGTTAGAATTCTGATTTTCTTGCTTGACAAGAGACAGTAATGAAGCTCTCTTTGGAAAACATTGACTTCCATACCTCGAGGGCTTCTCAAAGCAGGAGGTCTGCTTTTGTTTTCTCTTGATTACAAATACTTCATACATTTTCAACTAACGCTATATACTTGACTAGATTTCTATAATCTCCTCAACCTGATTTGGAAGCATCTGTTTTCAATAGAAGCTGAACTGGAGGACTATTAGCAAGATTGGATTCAGACTCCAATCAAGTCAGCACTGAGAAATGAATGTCATGTGCACACTGGCACTGGGACTCTGGGGCAGGGCTCAGAAAGAGGGGGAGGTTTGTGGCCAATATAAAAGTTCCTTTTCGGAGTACATCATAGAAAGGCATCTGCAAATATGCACATAATATACTGTAAAGGTCATCAAGATCAAATTCTGTTTTTTTTTTTTTCGTAAATAAATACTGGCAGTTTTATGTTTCCAGTGCTGGGGGGCATGGGAGGAAGGAAAAAAAGAGTCACCACTTTGTTTATGGAGCAAAGGGCCTGAGTGCCCAAACCAGCCACATGGGCCAGCAACCATGAATCCCTACAGTCTGCTCATGCAAAAAGAACCGTATTGTCTCATAAAAGATAAAACTGCAATTTATTTCAAAAAAGGGCCACTAACCGCAGTTTAGTCTCGCCACTGCAGTGAAGTACCGTGTTCCCACAATGCAGAATGTTTTACTAAAATGCATGCCAACTTAAATTGCCATGGCTGGAGATTCAAAAAGCACAGATGGCTATTCTGAATGACAGTATAATTTAACAGTCTATCCAAAGGCCAGGGTAAGCTGTCCCATCGTTAGTCTATCTGGAGTGGCTTTTAATCAGAAAGACAGTACTGATGCCTGGGAATCATAACTTCTTGAATTGTTCCGGGTAAATCTGGGAAAGGACTTCCTTTCAGTGTGGAATGGATCAACACAATATGCTTCAGTATGGTCCTGAAATCACTCTTCATTCTAGCCGGCTTTGTACTTTGAGTTAATGGAGCTAAACACAAAGATGTTTTAAGACACAGAACTGAAATTACTACGTCAGAGAAGGTCAGGAATTCTCCTGTTAATACTGTTTTAAGTGAAAATACAAGCTAGAAGACTTAAGTATTGAGTTCTGTTAGTTTAAAGACTAATTAGAGGAGAAGACAGTTGCGAATTCTCTATGAAACTACTACGGAGCTGTTGGCGTACAATGAGTATCCGATATTCCGTAGAGTCGTTCAATAGGGCACGACCAGTTTGCCAAAATGCACGCTCTTCTATTGTGTGGCAATTCAGGAAAACTCAGTATCCAGTTATGCCACACAAAAAGCATAACACGGTTCTTGCAGTCTCCTGCCTGGACTTCTTGTATTACAGATTGACAGAACAATGAAGTGAGTATAGAATTATATATGATCAAGGTCTGTGCTCTGTATGAGTCTGAATATTGCTACATCTCTTGCTTTCCATGTATAACATGGGAAGCTATATGGCAATAGCAGCAAGACAGGTTATAATAAACACATATTGAACGGTAAGGCCAGCTAACGCCACATTACCATTCACTGGATTATGAGGTGAAAGTACAGCATTGCTCTAAACGTTTTGCTTTCCGTTTCTTAATCACAGAATGCTAATGCCCAATCCAGAAAGAGCACGATTACCAACAGCTAATATACTGCAGGCATATTACATATATTGAATGTGAGAATTAAATGGACACAGATAACATACTTAACATATAAGAATTAAAAATTGTGTTTTAAGCCAAAGTTCAGGACTAACAAGAGACTTGCGTACTAACCTCTATAACAGTGTTAGCTCTTACACGTGACTCAGTGAGCGGAGCCGCTGGTTTTCAGAGGCGCTCATTGTCTGGATGCGTCTGATTTTGTCTCCAATTATACAGCTAAGGGGAGCTGCCATGTTTGTCTGCTATACGCTATTTTTTGAAAGCTTGTTTGCCAAAAACATCATTGTTTGTCTCTGACCTTAGTGCTGTCTTCCAGTCACACTTACAATTTAGCCATGTTCTCAAAGTTACTGTTCTAAATTTACATTTGAAAACAACTAGGATTCTTTTTCTATTTATCCGATAGCAAACAGGAAAAACAGCATAGCGATGTATGCTCCTCTCCCAACCTTCAGTACACCATGTATGCCTACAAAATGTAAATTAACCCGTGCAATATACCTTGAATGTAGATATTTTCTATAACCTTGTTATTCGGATCAAGAAATATTATTATAAAAAGCATACAAATGATCTCTTTAAAAAGAGGGTAAGCTTTATAATCAGGTTAGCATCATACAAAAACTTTGATTTAGGAAAAATTCTATTTAATTTCTGATCATATTAAGAAACTGACTCTGAGAAACTCTCTTCATAAGAGGAAAAGGATACAAAAATGTCTAGAAAGAAAACTCGAAAGCTGCCCATTAGCCAGGGAAGATGATGTAAAAAGTAGAGGGCCCAGAAAGATTCAGTAGCAGGCATCTTTAAAACAAGGCTGAGTCCCTGAGTGCGGTTTCCCATCATAGCTAATACAAACAGCAGGTAAGAGGTGCCTTCTGTTGATCTTCTTTGCAACTAAATATAAAACAATTTTTATAGAAGAAATGTTACAAGATGTATCCCGGTAGCCAGTGATAGACCATTTTGGAGTTTTATTCTATAATACATCCAAAGATGCTCACTCATCTTCTCCATCTCTCTGTGGGCTCTGAATCCTCTGGGCTTAATATGTTCAGCGTTTATCCTCTAAAACTACAGAAGTTGTTACAGCTCTTGGAAGCAGCTCAGGTTAACATGCTTTTTTTATATAGCTGCAAAGCAGCAAGGATAATCTGCTTCCAAATGATAATATTTACTTCTTAAATATAGAAAAAAATAAGTAATAAGAAATAGAAAAAAAACCAGTAATGGCACCTTTGTGGAAGGGTAGGTAATGTTCTAAATTAATTTTCCTCTAATTTTGTCTTTTGATCCTTACTTCCTTAAGGTAGAACAGTTGGGAGAAAAAAGGGGAGGTACCACTTGTTTATGAAAACAATCACGCAAAGCATGTTTCTGCTCACATCTGATAAACCCAGCTGTAAATACTTCCTCTCCTCCTCCCTGGCCAAGGCCACCAACCAAAGACGCTCATTTTCTTAAAATTTTTACCAGCTTCTTTTGAGTGGGCAAAAACTTTTATTTTCTTTGCCATTGCAGACGGTCGCAAAGGCGGGGAGGCTTTACAGCTGTGAGCGCTTGCTGCTAAGGAGAGTCTAACATCTCAAGCGACAGAGCATTTTGTATAATTATACAAATGGTCTTAAGGCAAAACCTTCCTTACATTTTTGTACAGCTGAGGAAATCTGCTTCTCAAGTAAAACACATAAGAATTACAAATGAAGCCTGACATTTCTGTCAAATTGAGAGTTTTCTGAAAAATAAGAGTGTTTACAAGAAAACAAGAATATTTTCAGGCATTTCGGAGGTTTAAATGGAGGGTCCACTGGCTGCTTTTCTGGACAGAACTCCTTTCAAAGCAGCTCAGCGCTTGTCGAATGACCGCAGAGGGCTAGAAAGGGTTAATCTTCACCTTGCAGTGATGCAGACAGATGCATCGTAGCCATGACTGAGATCAAAATTGGTCCTACCTTTAGGATACGATACTAATATGAATTCAGCCCTTCCAGTAAAAAAAGAACGGGGAAGGAGAGCGGGGAAAGGACACAATAATTCAAGCCCAAACTTCAAACTGCAGCTAGAGCCACTAAAAACTGAATCATCTTGTCTGGAGAAAGCGAAGTACTCATTTTTTCCAAATTCAAGAGATTTGTCAGTTTTCTCACTGTTGCCATGTTTTGAAAATAAGCTGCTTCCCTGCTGGGCAATGCTGTTGGATTGCAATTATTTTACCGGCATTAGTAGGAAGGCCAAAAAACTGCTAGAATAGGCTGTGAGCTTTCCTCTTGAAACGACGACAGCAGCAGCAGGTAGAGTTGTAATTTTCCGCTATTACTCATTTCTCTTGTGACTGTTTAGTATCTAAATGGGTGCCTTACGCAAACAGAAAGTATTTAATACAAGCAGAAAGATGGTGCGTGTGTGTTATTTCACAGCACAGCATATCTTAATAACCCACGGGACAAAATAAGCCCGAAACATAGGAAGCTGCCTAAAAGAAGGTAGTTACAGCTTTGTTATTTTGAGATATAGGTACGTAGTGAAAACATCCACGCGCTCCCCCATTCATAATTTCTAAGGCGTTTTTTTAAGTCATATGCATTTCTTTAAAGCTCTTAGTGTGCAATCCTTTCAAGATGCTTTTGAGAGTTTTTTAAGGAGTGGAAGCAGGTGAGATCTTACGTTACTTTTTTTCTGATACTATACTCTGGTCTTGGTTTCTTAGTAGCAATTGATTGAGTAAAATAACATACAGTGTTATGCACACCAAAATCCAAGTTATACAGAAATTCTTCAGGCTTGTGCTGCCTAAAATGACATACAAACAAATTAGCTGAAAAATAACGCCTGTTGTTGATTTAGTTTACTTCTTATCTGTAATATAAATGTGTAAAGAAGAAGGTGCAATTAATGTCATGTCTCTTCTTCTTGGCAACGATGGAAGTTCAAGGAGCCCTCCTCTTCCTCATTTGCGGTGCCCCCCGATCGCTGTCACGGTTGTACTGCGTCGTACTGCAGCAGCCGAGGGCAACGGTGCAGGAACAGGAGGGGAGCTTCTTCAGCTGGCTCTGCTACTGAGACAGGCAATCTTCACGTTCAATCCATCTCTTATATTAGCTCCTAGTAACTTACTAATAAATAATAGACAACAAACAAAAACCTGCTAATTGGACTAGAACACAATGGTTTCTTTCAACACATCTTGAATAAACACTACCAAAGCAAGGTCGTTTGAAATTTAGATTATACGTTTATCCCAATTATATTTTTGTTAACTCAAGTGTTCTGCTGGGCCAGTACCTGCATCCATGGTTAGCTAGATATTCAGTCTCATCTTTAGAGTCTGAGAGACTCGTGCAGTCAAAGACAGAGGTTCCACCTCGCGAGTCTTCACAGACACCTGCAAGGCAACTGGAAAGCAACAGATGATGAGCTAAGTTATCTTCTGCGTTTATAAAGTATTGATAAGCACCTGTGGTCACTGCTACCAGTGGAACAACTGGTGGTATAGTGTTAGTAAGCCTGCCCTGAAGAGGTGAAGTCTAAGTAATGGGAATTAGTGTTGCTGTTTCCCAGGCTGCATTTTGAGATGCAAAACCAACCAACTTGCCCGCAGTAACTGCTCCAGAACTGGGTGCTCAAAAGCCCTCTTTTCCTGCATTAATCACAACAGCATTCTTCCTGCTCCAGCTATGCAAAGGGTTGAGCTGAAACAGGCGCTGGCAGTTGCAACGTACAAAAGCCCGTGCTTGTTTTCAAGAGTAGGGAGCAGGAAGGAAATATCTTCAGCACTGGCCTATCTCCAGTTTTATTATCAGTTCCATATTGAATTAATCTGCTTTATTCCTATTTAGTCTGCTGGACATGCATCTGTTTTACTTCAGTTTTTTGTTACCTCTTCTGCACCATGGATTCTCTTTGATAGTTTCTTTTTTTTTTAGATTGATGAATTAATGTTTTTGATTTGATACAAAGCGAATGGAGCCTTGTCTTCCATTTCAGTCTAAACAGTAGTCCATTGGGTAGGCCAAATACTACAACTAGCACCAGGATTTTATGAAGCAGATCAAGTACTTTTATTCCTCTTGAATATGTTTTTTAGCTATATGTACTGAAACAGAACACATGAAGATGTCAAGATATTTTATGCTCTAAGCAGATAAAGTCCAGTTTCAATCAACATTGAGGAAACTAACTGAACCACACAGAGAAATAATGCTTGCTGTCAAGCTATACGTATATTTAGATAGTGAAAGCAGATAGTAAAACCATGAAATAAGTTAAAATATGCAACTTGATTCAGCAAAACTACTGCACTTTTCGTATCTATATAGACTGAAAGTACGACATGGAAAATATTCACTGACATTATGTGGGCTGGGGGGGCTTTTTTTTCTTGCATCAGATAGTTCCTGGTGTGTGTAGCAAATTTTGCGCAAGCCTAGCTGAATTTATTGTCAAACACCCCCGGGGGGGGTGGGGGGAGTTAGGCAGGCAAAAAAAGAGTAAGAATAGGATTTTCATAAGAGCCTAAGAAAATTGGAAGTTATCAGCCTAACAACTTCAAATGGAATTTGTGTACTTTTTTTTTATCCTGCTAAAAAATTTCATTTAAAAGCTCTAGAAAATATCAAAGTGAAAAGTGTTCTACATTACGGAGAACATTTTAATTGTTTGAAAACCTTACATTTCATCATCTTCTGGTTCTTGAGCTTATAGTAGACAAACTGTGAAATCATAATTGCATCCATATTAACATAAAAGATAGCAGTGGCAACCTGAAAGACAGCAGAAGACGCATTTGCTTGTTCAGCATACAAAAAGTCCAAAGTCATTTTTGAACTTAGCCACACAGAAATTTTCTTCATAATCAAAACGTGAACGACAAATACCAAACCACTGTCCAAAAAAAAAAAAAAAACCCAAAAACGTGCTTAGGGTCCAAAACCAGTTAGGCTGCTGCAGATTAACGCAAGGTAAAGCTTGTGCAACAGAGACTTGTCGGCACACCCGCCGAGTTTTCTGGTTTTCGGAGACGCACGGCCCAAACTCTTGCCTGGGCAGACTGATAAATCTGTTCTTGTCCAGAAGCCTCGGTCTGCTCCACTGACGTTCCTAACGCTTAACAAGCTGCTCGTCCTACTCAATGCCTCTTGCCTCAATAAACCAAAACTGACGTTTTTTCCCTGTTCCACGGTAGGGGAGATGGAACGGTTAGAACCGCAAATTAAATGGATGAATTAAATTAAACTGGATGATGGCTGTATCCAGTCTCGGTCCTCTTTCTAACCTGTGAAATCTTATGCGGGTGGCTGATAAATGTATCTTTCTCTTTGATTAAAAGTCAAAAATAAAAAAAGCAGATAAGAAAGTTTCAGACAATTAATGTATCGCTGACAACTGTTGTTTCTTTCAGAGAAACCCTCCTTTTACAGAGGAAAATATACTTTTCTAATTAGTCAGAGATAAAGAGCTTTGAATTAATGTTTCTTTGTTAATATATGATTCACCTAAAAATAGCAAGAAAGAAAGTTTAAATAGCAGTTACCTAAGACAAGTTATTCTGTTAGAAGATGAACAATACAACTTACTTCCAGCCCTACTTATTTAGCAAGCTTACCTTGAAGCTGAAACTTAATTGAAAATTTTCCAGTTAATTCATTATTGAATAAGGCTCGGTGAGTCTCTTCAGATGCTAATTACAATGAGAAACAGTTCCTTCAACACATAACAGTAGCAAAGTAAATATTTAGGAACACATGACTTGTTTTAGGGATGGTAGATCAGTGAACAGAATACATAAAACAGTTTAATTTCTAGTACTTATTTCGTTATGCAATAGTTAACACATTAAGTTAATCTACAGTTTAAAAAGAAAGTTTGAGAAGAAGGATAAAGCGAGAAGCAAAATATTGACAGATTACCTGAACTGGCAGCTGGTTTGTTAAATAGCAGCCTACACAATCTGTTAGATCTTCAGCTATCCAACCCAGCAGAAAGCCCAAAGAGAGCGCTTGATCCACTTTTCCACTCCAGCAGGCGACATCAATTTGACCGGCGCAAATTCAAGAAGTAATTTTAAAAGAGTGTAAACAGGAGTGTAAAATAGTGTAGATTTTTCAAAATCTAAATAAAGACCAAAAATCTAACTACATGAGACCTCTTATAGCAATACTCCACTTAGACATTGAAGAAGGCATCAGTATCACTCCAGCTCATCATGTCTTACTCCAGCTCAACAAAAGGCTCAAAGCGTGACCTCCTCACTGCTTGCACGTGTCCTTTTTTGTGGCCTGCACTGAAATATCATTTTCTGGAGATCAGCACCATGCCATAAGCATTTTATATTCGTGTGCTGTAGTTACCAGCCTTCAGAATACTGTAATAAGAAAAACACTGTTATTTAACACAGAAGGGCTAGGGACAAACAGAGCACCTAAAGAGCTGACGACTGCACTTATGCCTCTAAATCGGAAAAACGTTATTCAGTTTCACAATGTGGTCTCTGAAGCAAACCCAAACACAAGTCCATTAGACGCATCCTGACGAATTCCATACTAACATGACAGTTTTAATGTGAAGTCCCCTTTCAGCTAATAGTTCAGAAGATCAACAGCCTACTAAGAGCG